AAGACCTTAAAAGCACGGCGCATGACGCAAAAAATGACGTCATCGATGACGTCATTCGTATGGATTTAAAAGGTTTTGGCAAAAGTTATCCGATTCTGACAAAAAACCGCATCATTTTGCTTTTTTCGAGTAAAAAAGTCCGTATATTCATGCCCAGGCCCTACGGCGCCCCCCTCCCCCTTTCCCGCCCCCCCCCCCGAAATCCCCGTCAGGGCAATTTTAATCGTTTCTGGAAGGTAAACAGTTCTTGCATGAATTCACTTTCTATGTCATTTTATATGAGTCGACCTCTGAATTTGACTTTCGTATAATTTCGGCGAAGTTTCTCTATTTATGGTTACTTAAACTGACATTTAACAGCAAAATCGAAGTGTTTTAAGCCTTCTTAAGGCAAAACTGGGTTTTCTGATGTTCGGTTCAGGGCTCCTTAGATTCGCGACTTTCTTTCCTTTGGGTGGTGTTAAGTGATAGCCTAATAAGTACTCCTCACATCTTTACAGCGTTTATTTCAACTTCTTGCTCCTAGCCACGGCAATATCACCCAGATTGTGTTTTGCACCTCGTAATAATGCAGCCTTTCACACATTTAAGGAGCGCTTTGCTACTTAATAGGCCATTCACGGCAAAGTAGTGAAGAGTTTGGTGTCGGACGCGTTTGATTCGGAAAGTGCGAACCCTGGTCTATCATTCAAGGTCGAAATCTGACGAATTCTTCCTTTTACTTTAAAGCGACGAACCTAAAACGCGACCCCATGCTGTTTTCCCAGGGGACCCAATGACGTCACTGCGTGACGTCATCGATACCAACTGTTAAGAACGTTTTCTGCAAGTATGCGGCACCGAAATCACGAAAAGAACACATATATCCATAGCCAAGATCCAGAGCAGACTTTAATTTCCGTTATAACTGTTTTGAGAAAAGCGATGTTTGAAATAACGGTATTTTTCTAATTGCCCCATTGTGACGCTGCCTGGGACCCGAGACTTGGCAATATAGCCTTAGAACACTGCATTTTTCACATGACTTTAAACCTCTGCCGCGGGAAAAGTACTCATCGCAGACATGTAAAATTTGGATATATGATAGATATGATGTTTCTGAAGAATTAGGATAATTTTTAATGAAAAATAATCTCCTTAAGGTTCCGGGTCGGAGTTTAATTCTGACCAGGGTTCCAAATAGTGCGCAGTAAATCGCCGGATCTGCGAGGTTGTCACGCTAGGTTTGGCTCCCCATAGCTCGGCGATCGCTGTAGATTTTCAACTAGGTTTTGAATTGATCAAAAAGCCTTGGGATTGTAGTGTTTTTCGGCGCGGTGAAGTTGGACGGCCAGCGAAGCGTTTATGGTATCAGTCCGCGAGCAAGGGTGATGCGGTTTGTCGCCTGATGACCCAAATAGCTGCGTTCTATGTGGAATTTCTAGGGATTCGCGTCACCGGATTTTGCGAAAAACTTATCGCAACAACCTATATTTTTTTTCTGTTTTTCAGAAACAGGAAGTAGTAAGCTATTTCAGCATATAAGCTGTTAGCCTGGGAAAATTCGTTTTTTCCAAGCAGGTCCGTTGAAAAAACTGCAAAAAAACTACATTTTTCGTATCCAAAATTTACGTTTAACTACAGTTTCTACCGAAATTATAGAGTCGACGGACAATAACCAAAATTGTATCGGAAGCCGGCTGCAAACCTCCGTTGACTGATGTAATGAGATTTCCCGGCGTACTTTTTTTGGCGGAGTTATAGCCCTTCGGTCTGAGGGTGCCCGCCGGATCCAAAATCGTGAAAAAAACTCCGGTCCGAGACCTTAAAAGCACGGCGCATGCGCAAAAAATGACGTCATCGATGACGTCATTCGTATGGATTTAAAAGTTTTTGGCAAAAGTTATCCGATTCTGACAAAAAACCGCATCATTTTGCTTTTTTCGA